GCGCCGCCCGCCCAACGGCGGCGCTGCCCGCGCGGGGGGCGCAGGCGCGGCCGGGCCGAGGCGGGAAGGGGCGGCGGAGCCGCTGGCGCCTCCGTTCCCGGTCCCGTTCCGTGCGGGCCGGGCCTGCAGGCGGCCTGGGCTCCTGGGCCCTGGCGCTGGCAGGAGGAGGAGGAGGCCAGGGCCTGGTCGGCGCTTTGCGTGGCGGCAGGCGGAGCTTGCGCTTTTTTGCGAGGGTAGGGGCGGCTCGGGGGAGGGGGGACGGGGTTGGGCGTAAGTTTAGCTCAGGGCTTTATTTTTTTTTCCTTCCGCTAAACAAGCGTGGTCGCTGTTAGCCTTTCATCTGTGCAACGGCGGGGCCTGGGTGCCCCTCCGCAGGCAGCAGGGACCCCGGCTTCCCGAGCCCTATGAGCCCCTCCTCACCCTTAGTGTTTGCTTTGGGCTCTAAATAGCCTAAATCAATCTCTCTCCCAAAAAACATGTTTTGTAAYGTATCCCCTTGGGAGGTGCAGGGGATTTGTGGTCCCTTTTGGCAGAGTGCAGAGTTTGCACTGCTCCCATGGAGGAGGATCCCACTGCCTGGGTCCCTATCGCTCTATCTGTACTTTCATTTTAATTTTGTTTTCATTCTTTTCATTTTGGCAGGGTGAGCCCCAGGAGCTTTACCAAGAGGGAGCCTCGCTGCTTCTGAAGTTTGGATAAGGAGGCACGTGTATGACTGCGCTTGCTCCAGGGCTCTGATGTGTCGGACACGCGCATGACCACGCAGGTCCCTGCGGAGAGGAGGCATCACCGGCCCTTCGCTCCCTCCCTCCCTCCCAAAACACCCCCACCAGTGATGCCTCGTGGAAAACTGCTTCTGCAACATGCAGCTTTTCTGTTTTGATATCCTCCCTTGTGTTAGTCAGTGCTTTCTGCAGTTGCTCTTATAGTCTTATGCATAATATCCAGCGCCAATCTGGCATTTGTCATTAGTAAATCATAAAACACTTCACACAGGAGTCCTATATCGTGCTGAGCACATAAGGAAGCTTGCTTTGCTGAAAAGGATTAATATTGGTGTTTCCACAACAACCATTCATCTTCCCGTGTTCCCTCTCTGCTTTGCTTGGTGGGGAAAAAAAAAAAAAAAAAAAAAAAAAAACCACACCCCACTGGCAGATCTTGTAACCACATCTGAAAGGCATTTTTCTTTTGAAATATAAATTAAGCATGAATTGGTTTGTAGCTGCTTTATTTTTTTTTTTCTAAGTAACTACATTCTTGTTTTCTGTGTTTGAAATGTGACAATCCTTAGAGGCATGTCAGTGTTGGAAAGTGTCTTGCAGATGCTCTTTCAGCTSCATGCACCCTACAGGACAGTTGCACTCTGTGGGGTTGGCTGCTCCCCTCTTGCTGTGTGCCCCCTTGTCAGGTGCCAGCTGCACTGGAAATTTGGGCTTGCTCCATCCTCCTCAAATGCTTGTGTCTGGGTTCTGAGCATGCAGCTGTGGGGAGAAGCAGCCTTCCTCAGCATGTGKCACACTTGCGTTATTCCTGGGCTGTGAAGAGCTGGCTTGTAATGCTGTTTCTTCCCCACAGCCAAGGGCCTGCTACCTGGCACGTAACTTTTCTACCAAAAAAACATTTAGTCTACTTAAAGTAASATTTTCTATTCTAGAGCTCCATTTGCTATTTGTTTCTCACTCAAATCAAACACCCATTGACTCTATTGACTTTACTGCAAGCTGGATGCTTGTATATCTTGAAAAAGGTACTCTGTAGCAATACTGTATTTATTTAAAAGTCACTGAAAATCAGCTCTTTTAAAATATTTTTTTTTTGTAATATGCTTTTTGCGTTGTTTATCTGTTATCTTTCTTTGCAGCTTCTCCAACCTGAATTCCACGATGAAACAGTTGTCAGCAGAAACTATTCGTCTCCTTTCAAGCTCCCAGGTGATTACGTCAGTGGTCAGCGTAGTGAAGGAGCTCATAGAGAATTCCTTGGATGCCGATGCCACAAGTATTGATGTTAAACTGGTATGTCCTCTCTCTTGCACTTAATACAGAAATTGGATATCAAATAAGATGTGGGAAAAATTGTTCCACTGTCAGTGTGTTTTTTAGGGTGTAGTAGTTTTGTGGAGAGGATTGATACCCCTTGTACATATGTGTTTYAACCTTAAAAAAATGGTCCAAGATCAATCTCCGTAAAAAATTTTGAGGCTGGAACTGTAAGGCATATTTGTGCTGAATGCATCTTCAGGAAAAAAAAAAAAAGGCATTTTTTAGTACTACTTCTTTTATGGTGTACTTTATTTTTTTCCTGAATAATAATTTTAAAAGATGTTGGRCTTCTAGACTGGTATAGCTGGTTCTCACTATAATATATTGGCAAGAAGATGATAATGGAAACTGTGGAAAAAGGTTATGATATCCATGCTCAATATTTTTATAATATAAATCATCATATGCTCCCTAATAAACCTGATGTACCCTGGCTACTATTAACATTTAATTTTTGTAAGCTTTTTGAAAAAAAAGAAAAAAAAATTGGCATGTCACTTAAGGATGCTTTCTGAAACAAGAATACGAAAATACTGGCTGGGATTAAAAAATGTACTCTCCTTCCAAATTTGGAAAATAACAGTGATCACTTTCTTCCCATTAGTGTTTTTGCAGTATTTGGTCAACAACTGCATGATAACATCATCTCCTGCTAGGAAGAAATYGTGTTGTTACAATGTATATAAACAGATGTATCCAGAAATGCAGTTCATTTCGTGTTTTTTTTAATTTTTTTCTGTGAGTGGCAGTGAATGTATAAGCTCTTCTCAAATTACCAAGCAAAAAAGTAAATGTTAGATACAATAAGTTAATACTTCTGATTAACAGAGCAGGATTATTTCTGTTTGTGACTTGGATGCGGAGAAAGGAACAAATATCATTGCTGCCTTACCTGGGTGAGTCTCAAGCAGTTTCCACAGCATCACAGAATGGTTGAGGTTGGAAGGGACCTCTAGAGATCGGATGACTCTCGGCAGTCCAGCCCCTGCTCCAGCAGGGACACCCAGAGCACGGGGCATCCGGTCRCATCCAAGCGGATTGGGAAGATCTCCAGAGCAGGAGCCTCCCTGGGCAGCCAGGGCTCCAGCACCCTCACAGTGCAGAAGTTCTTCCTCACATGGAGATGGAACTGCCTGGGTTTCAACTTGTATCCACACCTGAGTGTGGTTTCCTGAGGCTGCTGAGAGAGATGTTTATTAGTTCTTTGCCCATCTGAAAAGAAGTTACTGGTCTTCACGATGATCTGTCATGGTTTGTTTCTTCCCAATACTTAGATGATGTAATGACTTGCTGCATCAGAAACCCCAAAGTGAGTGGTATATGTACAACTTGGAGGATAAAAATACCAGAAACTGATCTTGTCCACTGCTCGGTAACTGATGAAAGCCACAGAAGGTTTTGGAGCCTTCAGTAATTGTTAGAAGAGAGCTTGTATCTTTTATTGGAGTGACAATACAGAACCTTTCTGAATTCTGCACAGTGTGGGTCTCGCTGTGCAGTAAACGTCTCTTTCTGTAGTGAGAAGACACAAATGAACTGAAGAGCAATTTCAACCAGAGTCTTTTGCATAAGTCATCCGCACTAATGTTACTTTTTGTCAGTTCAGCCCCATCCAAATGGCTGCATTTAAAAAACAAATAAACGCTATAATACTTGGATTTGCTCCTTTTTGTCAATCACTAAATGAGATTTGCTGATTATTATTTGGTGTGTACTGGGTTAGAGAAGAACACCTGCACACCAAATATCCATTTTCCCTGCAGCCAAAGCAGGAGAGGAGAGGGGGGAAAAAAAAGCCTTAAAATTTTGGAGAGTATTTAGAAAAAAWACATACTTTTCAGTTATAGTTCACTGATTTTAAAGAATATAAGGTTGCATTTGTGATTTGAAAAAGTCGATGTTAAGCAAGTAAGAAAGCTGAAAAAGAATGAACAGTCTTTAGTTTTCCTGTCATGCTTTTTTTGTAAGGTGCAAGATAGGTAAATAAATAAATTACTTCCACAAACATAAATTGGGTAAAACTGAAAACTGGAATTGTGTGTTGTCCCCAGACAGCAGGGTATAAATTACATAATTTAATTAGATCATCACTACAATCTTTATGTGTTTGTGTGTACACACACATAACTGTATATATTTGTTTTRCAGAGATACTTTTTGTTGTTCGGTTTCTCCAAATAAGCAAAAATCTCCCTTCTATATTGATGGCTACAGGTTGGGTCCTCAGCTGTTTCAAGCTTGTATCCTAAATCATTGGGGTCGTTATTTTAGTGATTGGGATGTTGTTTTCCTCTTYTAGGAGAACTATGGGTTTGACAAAGTAGAAGTGAGAGACAATGGCAATGGAATCAAGGTTGCTGATGTTCCTGTTATGGCAATTAAACACTACACCTCAAAAATAAGCTCTTCTGAGGACCTTGAAAACTTGACGACATACGGTTTCCGTGGGGAAGCTTTGGGATCAATTTGCTCTATATCGGAGGTGAGTAGTTGCTGTAAACATATCAGACCTATCAGAAAGGATATTCTGGGAGCGTGGCTGAGTTTGTTCTTTGAATTAAGCTGTATCAGCGTAAGGAAGTAGAGGAGATGGTCAGCAGAAGTCACTTTGGTTGGCTCTCCCTTCGGAGAACTAATGGTCCATGTAGCTCCAGTTTCWGTGAGGGTTTCTGCCTTGATGTTATCTCGGTAATCAGCAGTCATGGGATCTTGCTGGGCTCCTTGGCAAGTACGTAACTGCTGAACTCCTTGGCAAGCACGTAACTGCTGTTGCATAAGCATATTGTTCTCCTTTGGAGTAAACAGGAACCTGCTTCTCAGTCTGATCTTTATGTTGGTGTTAACAGGACTGGCTGTGTCACTGTATGGATATTTAGGAATTCACTTGCTGACCTTTTACATTGGTTCAAGAGTGAYGTAAGAGATGATCAAATGGTTAAGGGCGCAGCATCTACCTGCTCCGCTGTGCTTTGCTTTTTGGTCCCCGTGCTGCATCCCAGCCAGGTTTTGTGTTCTGCGGGTGGCAGCCCTCACCTCCGTGCTCTGTTCGCATTGCTCTGAGCAGGACTGGGCTGTGTGTTTGCATGGAGGATTCCAAAGAAGGAGGTTTCCAGAAGTCTTGGTGTTTTGACAGATGATGACAGACCTCGATCGTGGGCTCATTTTCACGAGTTGTGAGCAGGGTGCCATTCTTCTGAGCAGCTAATCAGCCCCGTGTTAGGTTTCATAAGAGAGGGAGGTGACCTGAGTGTATGTACTTTAATAGGTGCTACTTYAAATCTTGGGTCGGTAATTATGTTTACAACTAAGGCCAGGAGTGTTTAGTTATCTGTCTACCTAAATTGTCGCCTGTAGTTTCAGTTAAGTGGTTCTATACTATTGGCCCTTAACTAGGTCCATAATATTGTTATTGCCAATTAATTGCTGATACTGTTGTTGTTTTTGTTTTCTCTCCAGAAGCGTAATTGAACTCCAAATTATTCATGTGGGAGATTAAAATAAATTATAATATCCTAAAGCTCTGTATGAGTGATAACCTTTATGCCCCTCCAGAGGGTTATAGTGGCTCTGTCATTCAGGATGTTAATATTGAACTCGGGAATTGCATTTTTATTAAACTTCTGTTATGTGGTTGGCCTTGCTAAAGCTGATCTGTGTGTTACCTGAATAGCCTACAAAACGTAGCACTACTGATTGCTAGATATGATGGGTGTGGAAAAATAATATACTGTTTAATAAT